CTGTACGGTGCCTTACCTGGTCCAAAAATGAAACGACCACACAAATATTACCTGTACGGTGCCTTACCTGGTTCCCAGATGAAAGGGCCACACAAATATTACCTGTACGGTGCCTTACCTGGTTCCCAGATGAAAGGGCCACACAAATATTACCTGTACGGTGCCTTACCTGCTCCCCAGATGAAAGGGCCACGCAAATATCACCTGTACGGTTCCTTACCTGGTTCCCAGATGAAAGGGCCACGCAAATATTACCTGTACGGTGCCTTACCTGCTCCCCAGATGAAAGGGCCACGCAAATATTACCTGTACGGTGCCTTACCTGGTTCCCAGATGAAAGGGCCACACAAATATTACCTGTACGGTGCCTTACCTGGTTCCCAGATGAAAGGGCCACGCAAATATAATTTACCTGTACGGTGCCTTACCTGCATGCTCCCCAGATGAAAGGGCCACGCAAATATCACCTGTACGGTTCCTTACCTGGTCCCCAGATGAAAGGGCCACGCCAATATCACCTGTGCGGTGCCTTACCTGCTCTCCAGATGAAAGGGCCACGCAAATATCACCTGTACGGTGCTTACCTGGTCCCTACATTATGAAAGGCCCATGGAAAGTATTTCCCGTATACGCGTACGCGTACGGCGTTTTACTGGTAACGTAATCTAGACCCAAGTCCCTCACGCAGTCATTACCTGTAAGGTTTCCAGAGCTAAGAGCCGCACAAATGACTGTTTGTGGCTTATCCACCGAAGTGGAGTGATTATAGTCGTAAAGGTTGACGTTTTTTGCCCCTAAAAGTTGTGGATAACGCCGGCAGCCCTCCCCACCGCTAGCTATCGCTCACTGCAGCAGCTGATACCCCGACCAATAGCAGCGTGGAGCTTGCTGAGAAATTGACCAATAGCGGCGTGGCCGTCTTTCGTGGCCGTCCTACCATATTCTAGACCAAGCCATACCTCCGCACAGAGGAAGATCACTAGTAATGGCGGCTCGACCTGCATGATGGTGCAGGAGGGATCCTGTGTTTCGGAGGCCTTTTCTGCGAGTGAACTCTTGAAAAAACGGTGGGACGTCCGCAGTTCAGTAGGGAAGGAATTCCCCTCGACAAAACTCATGAAGCAATGAATCTGGACTCGTTGTCGCTGGCCCTGTCTCAAATCAGTTACGCTGTGGCGAATCTGAGCAAGAAGAACTACAAGTCGAGCGTTGCGGAAATCTCTCGTGTAAGTCATCGTTTATGTATTTCTTAATCCAGTATTGTACAACCAAAACCTCTAGTGGGAACGATATACATTTAGTGTACCTACAAAGGATTATATTTGGTTCTAAATGAAGCGATTGCGTGGTGAATTTCGCCGCGCCGTACTTTGGTTTCAGACGACCGCCATGTTTTTTTTTCACCGGAAAAAAAAAACTGGACATAATTTGTGACGTTATATAATTCAACGGCTGGGTTTTAGCGCCGCCGCTTTAGCTGGCTAGAGCCAAGAACTTTTAAAATTGCTGTACGATTTTTGATTCTTACGTATATTCCATGGACACCAGGGATACCTTGTATTATATACAGTGGCCCCAAATCAAGTACACATAAGGTAAGCTAGGCACATGGCATAACACTGTTCTCCAAGCAGATGTTAAGGTGATAGATTGTAACGTTTCCTGAATGTTCATCCATTCTGACACCCACTCACCCGAATGTTGGGCGGCTTAGTTTTCAGAAAAGCTCAGCTATCAGAGAAATGGTACAAGGAAATCGTTCCAATCTGCACACCCATCATCTGCTTGGACTGAGTTGGAGATATATTATTTAACAACATGGCATCACACCAGTTCTGTGTTACATCAGTTGCTGTTGCATAAACTTGCATTGCATCAACCTTCAGACAAGCATATGACCCGGGCGGGGGTTATTTTGTAAATCTGTCTGTTTTTCGTGGCCTTTTTAAGCGTTTGTATGGCTTTTTACATGGAATGAGCCTTCTTGGACAATGGGGTTCAAGCACCAACAACTGGCCAGTCTAACGTGTCTGGACCTACAATGTAGTACTATATCAGCTTGTGGTTAGAAAATTAAATTATTGAGATGGTGGCCTGGGTAAGGCATGGGTTCGATTCCCGGGAGCCAGGAGAATGTTCTACTCGCCCCCTACAATGTATGTGTTTCAGTAGTGGTTCCCACGCTGGCTCTATGTGTAATGCCAGAATGTGCCACATAGGATGTTGAATGAATGAATGAATGAATGACGACCTTCATTGCACTTTTTTGCCACACTGGGCTAAGTACGGGTCACAACAAAACAAGATGAACAGATACAGTTAAACAGATACGATATTGGACTCAGAAATTCAAGTATGAATCTGTAAAAGAAAAGGGGATTAGTGTAACAGTGGGGGCCACCAACTGGTCAGTCTAACTGGTCTGGATCATTTAGTTTAGCCTTGTGGTTATATATATTAGTACGTTGGGTTTGTGAGCTGGTGGTACGGGTTCGAAATCCAGGGAGCCAGGTGTCTGTACTACTTGCCCCTTCCTCTTTCCCACACCAACACACCTTAATTATGTGTAAATAATTTACTTTAAGATCTGTTTTCCCCCATAAGTTGTATTTTGGTTGTCATGTTCAGATTTCATGAAATCATATGTTTTGTTTTTTTAATTATTTCTATAAAAGGATTTTTAATGCATTTCTTTACAAGAAATGCCAGATTGTGATTTGCCCTTTGTTTTAACAAAGATTAATTTACCGAGTAACAAATTGTCTGGGTACGGTTCACAAATATGTAAATGGTATGATGTGGGTGGAAATGAAAAATGAGGCCTTCAGATAGGGCAAAATGGAGGGGGGTATGGATACCTACCAAATATGTTCATAGCTTGATGATCTCACACTGAATCACAGTCACAGTGAAAATTGTGAACATAAAACCAAGTTGCAAATACTTCAACATCATGTATTGTACATGAATGGGTCTAGTCTTAGGCAGCTTGTACAAAATGGATGTGTCTCACCTTGAAGCAGTATAGGGTTCAGTAACAAAAGAGTCTGAATCCTTTTTCTAGGACAAGGTTGCTTTTCATCCTGTGTTATTTGACAAGAATGGGCTGCATGTATGCTAAGTTATGTATGTAAAAACGTGTTATGCTAAAAGCTAGGGTAGATGTTCTTGGACAAATGAACAGGACAGATATTTCTCAAAATATTCCAAAAAATTATTTTTGAACACGGGGAATGTTTTATCAATGGTCAGTGCAAGCTGAAGGGTAGGTGCAAGTACTCGAAATAGACATCGGAAATACATGTACCATGGTACTACTCCATGTAATACAGCCCCAATTTTACCTGCATACTTCAAAGTGATACTGGTATGTACAATCAAACCTGTACAAGTGAGCACCTCTACATAAGGACTACCTGCGCTGGCCATTCAATGATTGATATACAGTCAAACCTGTACTACAAATGATCACATGGCCCATTGTGACCACATTTTTTCCCTTAGGTAACTTCTTCCTTTGGCCAAAGAATGAAACTATCAAAAGAGTGACCACCTGACCACGTAGACCAGATTCTGTTGGGTAGTTTTGACTTCATGCTTGTATACCATTTGTGTATTTAAATACTATTTGCGGTAAATTTTGTTTTAAAATGTGCCTGAAACTTTTTTTCCGTAGCTTGTTGATCAACACGGGCCTGAGGCAGATCGTCACTTGTACCGTTGCCTCTTCTCACATGTGGATTTCAGTGGGGATGGTAAAAGTGGTGGAAAAGACTATCACCAGGTAATATACTCTTAAACTTATCTGCAGTAAAGCATTGTACAGTAAGATGTAGTAGTAGTAGTAGCAGTAGTAGTAAGCCTTTAGTTAAACTCGAAAGCTTGTTCAGTACATACATATGACTGCTTTTCAACAAGGTCGAGGGTGAGGGCGGGGTCATGGATTACAAATCAAACCAAAATTTGATAGATAGCATGACATAGAATACTGTCAAATTCTTCATGCAGTAAAGCAATTCACAGTAAGCTAACATCAAGTAAAACACTGTAAAAGCAAGTCTTATAATCAATGATCATAGATATCGCCAGAAAGTTGACTATTTTTTACCTGAAAATCTATCACATTAAATGGGGCTCAATTACCTTTGAACATCAGCCAATTCCTAAAAATTATCAAGAGGAAACTGGCTATATATCTTGCTAAAACGTCCTTGCAAGGCTATTTTTTTCTGAAAGAAGAAACCTCAAGGTATATCCATGTAGCTAGGGAAACACTGACTGAGCTCAGGTGTTGTTGTGCTGGTGGGTTACTCTTGCCTACTTTGGTCCAGACACAGCTGCTGATCCAAGAGTGTGAAACCCTGATAACCAAGCCTACCTTTGTGTCTACATTGTGCTACGCTGTAGACTTCCCCCTCCACCATCAAAAAGTAAGTACAATACGTCTTTAATCCTTGTCCTGCTGGATTTTTTACACAATATTTTCAAAGATTTTTGTCCCAATTTGAAGTTGCATATTCCAGAGTGTGTGTTGTGCAATGTACAAATGTACCTGTGTATGTTGATTCATGTTCAGTCGCTTGTACTGTACGTAACTGTCACTTTTTTCATTATTGGAGCTAAAAAAATGTAAACCTGCATTCTATGTCATTTTTACAATTTACATTATGGATTGTGTTACCGTTAGACCTTCAGCCTACAGGGCTAATGGGTACAGTCAAAAAGGGTCCTGATCAGATAATACATGAAGAAAAATAATGCGTCACAATGATTTTTTTCAGAGTTTAAAGCCGTCCGTGCAGCTTTTCCCTCAGCTGACCAAGGTTCTAAAACTGAACAAAATCCAGGAGGTGGGTTATATTTAACGGTTGAAAATATTTAAAAAAGATATAATTTTGTTTAACTTAGAAAGATGATGTGTGTAACTTAGCACACTAGATGAGCAAAACAGTTGTGTTAACAGGCATATTCTTAATACTTCATGTCTGTTTTCTTATGTTTCTAGCTTGTCAGGACATGTTCAATCCAAGCCTTGTGACCAACTGGCTTTTTCCTTTCCCAGGTTGTGTTTGGGCTTGCATTGTTAAATTCGTCCATACTAGAGGTTCGAAACTACGGTGAGTTGCCCACTTACATTCTTCATGGAGTTACAAGCAACCCCTACTGCTTAGATATAAAGTTGATATTCAGTTATCAATGATGATTTCGAATTGATTATTGCATATTCATGAACAACTGATATTCTATTTTCATGTTGATATTTTCAGCTGCCCAGTTTGTGAAACAGAAGCTCCCCGATCTCCTCAGAACCTTCACAGATCCAGGTAGGAACCATAGTTACAAGATTCCTTAGTTCTTTGTTTTGTATCTATTTATGGGGGTACCTAAGAAATAAAGGGTGCCTTGTTTGGGGCTATGTCAAATACTTCAAGTATGAAATAATGTTGTAAATGTGCTAAAAGAATTGGCAATAAATGTCAATATCAGACGGGTTTTCTTGTCCAGTTTTTTATTTGCAGCCCTGAAATTGCATTGGCTTTGTACAGTTCAGAATGCACTCCCAATGTGAATTTGAGGGGATTCATGCCTCAGCTAACCGACATCTTGCACACGCAGTCGTCCCTCAGTAAGACATCTGGAGCCGCATAGTTCCTGTTTAGAACTTTTATTCAGCCTGTCACACGACCGGTTTCGCCTGTGTTAGTTCAGAATGCACTCCCAAGTTAGCTTATGAAGTTGTGTTGCTCCTCCTGTGCTGTTGATCTGAAATCTAAACAGCTGTTGTGAGGAAAGTCTGAACGTTGTGTTGTTCCTCCTGTGTTTAGATCTGAACAGCGGTTGTGAGGAAAGTCTGAACGTTGTGTTGTTCCTCCTGTGTTTAGATCTGAACAGCGGTTGTGAGGAAAGTCTGAACGACATCGCCATCGAAGTTCTGCACCTGCTGCTTATAAACCTACACGGACCCAAGGACAAGTTCGGCATCGGAGCTGAGCAGAAGGAAGCTTTCATTGCTATCCTAAAACAAGGTAAACCACCACCTAACTGTATGGAGGCGAACTGTTAATCTTGTATTGCAATGTATCTGTTTTGCGTTGAACTATGTTTGAGCTTTTGAAAAGGTTGGCAGCACTCAACGCATTGTAGAGAAAGCATAGGAAATGTTAACGGTAAGAAATGTGATAATCCAGTCATTGTTTTTGCCAGCACTTATGTGTAGATTGTAGTGACAGCCTGACTTTAAATGTGTGTCAGCCTTAGAAAAATTAGACTGACAAGATTACATTATTTCTTTGTTAGGGACCGTACGATATTTACCGGGGAGGGGGGCCGGGCGGTCCGGGGTAGCGTAAAAATTTTTT